TATGCTAGCCAAACAAACACTGTATGCTGTGTACACAGGTTAGAGACTGGGAAGAGATCTATGAGAAAGATTTTTAACTTACAAGCCTCCTGAATCAGACTAGGTTAGGAGACTTAATTTTTTTGGTATGCACGTAAAAATATTAAGGGGAAAAAAAGATATTTAAAGAACCAATGCTTACAAATAAATAACCTAAATTTACACCTAAAGGAACCAGAAAAAGGAGAACAAACAAAACCCAAAGTTAGTAGAAGGAAAGAAGTAATAAAGATCAGAGCAGATATAATGAAATAGAGACAGAAAGAGAGGAAGAAAGAAAGAAAGAAACTAAGAGTTGGTTCTTTGAAAAGATAAACAAAATTGATAAACCTTTAGCCAGACTCATCCTTAAAAAAGAAAGAGGACCCAAGTAAAATCAAGAATGAATGAGAAGCCTCTTTCGACTGACACCACAGAAATATAAAGGGTCATAAGAGATGATCATGAACAACTATACACCAATAAAATGGACAACTGAGAAGAAATGGATAAATTCCTAGAAATATACAAACTCTCAAGACCAAGTCAGGAGGAAGTAGAAAATATGAACAGACCAATTACCAGTAATGAAATTGAATCAGTAATTAAAAAAAGAAAAACAAAAATACTCCTAATGAGCAGAAGTCCAGGACCAGATGGCTTTACAGGTGACTTCTACCAAACACTTAAAGAAGAGTTAATTCATCCTTCTCAAACTATTCTGGAAAGTTGAAGAGGAAGAAATGCTTCCAAATTCATTCAATGAGATCAGCATCACCCTGATACCAAAACCAGACAAAGCTGTAAAAAAAAAAAAAAAAAAAAATTACAGGTCAATATCATGGATGAACATAGATGCAAAATTCAACAAAATATTAGCAAACTGAATTCAACAATACAGTAAAAGGATCATATACAACGATCAAGTGGGATTTATTACAGGGATGCAAGGTTGGTTCAATATATGCAAATAAATCAATGGGATACACCACATTAACAAAATGGAGAATAAAACTCACATGGTCCTCTCAATAAATGTCAAAATTAAACATCCATTCATGATAAAAACTCATCTAAGTGGGTATAGAGGGAACATATCTCAAAAAAATAAAGGCCCTTTATGACAAACCCACACCTAACATCACAATAGTGAAAAGCTAAAAGCCTTTCCTCTAAATTCAGGAACAAGACAAGGGTGCCTGCTTTCACCATTTCTATTTAACAGTATTGGAAGTCCTAGCCACAGCAATCAGATAAGTAAAAGAAAGAAAAGGCATCCAAACTGTAAGGAAAGAAGTAAAACTCACTATTTGCAGATGATGATACTATATCTAGAAAATCCTAAAGATGTCACCAAAAAACTGTTAGAACTAATAAATGAATTAAGTGAAGTTGCAGGGTACAAAATTAATATACAGAAATCTGTTGCATTGCCATACACTAACAATGAACTGGTAGAAGGAAAAAATAAGAAAACAGTCCTACTTACAATTGCATCAAAAAGAATAAAATACCTAGGAATAAATCTGACCAAGGAGGTAAAAGACCTGTACTTGGAAAACTGTAAGACATTGATGAAAGAAATTGAAGACAACACAAATATATACTGTGCTCATGGATTGGAAGAATTAATATTGTTAACATGACCATACTACCCAAGGCAATCTAGAAAGTCAATACAATCCCTATCAAAATACCAGTGACATTTTCCACAGAACTAGACCAAATTCTAAAATTTGTGTGAAAACCTAAAAGACCCCAAGTTGTTTTCTTTCTCAAAACAACCTTGAGAAAGAACAAAGCTGGAGATATCACACTCCCTGATTTCAATATTACAAAGCTACAGTCATTGAAACAGTGTGGTCCTGGCACAAAAACAGACCCATTGATCAATGGAACAGAATAGAGAGTCCAGAAATGAACCCACACTTATATGGGCAATTAATCTATAACAAAGAAGGCAGAATATGCAATGGGGAAAAGACAGCCTCTTCAATAAGTGGCATTGGGAAAACTGGACAACTACATGTAAAAGAACCAAATTGGATTACTTTCTCACACTATACACAAAAGTAAACTCAAAATGGATTAAAGATTTAAATGTAAGACCTGAAACCATAAAACTTCTAGAAGAAAACATAAGCAGTATGCTCTTTGACATCAGTCTTAACAATATTCTTTTGGAAATGTCTCCTAAGGCAAAGGCAACAAAAACAAAAGCAAGTGGGACAACGTCAAACTAAAAAGCTTTTGCACAGCAAAGGAGACTGTTAACAAAACGAAAAGGTTACCTACTGAATGGGAGAAGGTATTTGCAAAGGATATATCTGATAAGATGTTAATATCCAAAATATACAAATAACTTATACAACTCAACATAAAAAAAAAACAAACCCAACTTGATTGAAAAATGGGCAAAGGACTTGAATAGGCATGTTTCCAAAGAAGACTTACAGATGGGCAACAGGTGCATGAAAAGATGCTCAACATCACTAATCATCAGGTAAATGCAAATCAAAACCACATTGAGATAACACCTCACACCTGTCAGAATAGCTATTATCAAAAACACAAGAAATAGCAAGTGTTGGGGAAGGATGTGGAGAAAAGGGAACGTGTGTGTTGTTAGTGGGAGTGTAAGTTGGTGCAGCCACTATGGAAAACAGTTGGAGTTTCCTCAAAAAATTATAAAATGGAAATACCATATGACCCAGCAATTCCACTTCTGGATATTTTTCTGAAGAAAACAGAAATGCTAATTTGAAAAAATATATGCGCCCCTATATTCACTGAAGCATTATTTGCAATAGCCAACATATGGAAGCAACCTAAGTGTCCATAAGTAAATGAATGGATAGAGAAGATGTGCTATAGCTACACAATGGAATATTACTCAGCCATAAAAAAGAGTGAAATCTTGCTATTTGTGAAAATATGAATAGGCCTAGAGGGTATTATGCTAAGTGAAATGTCAGAGAAAGACACATACCATATGATTTGACTTATATGTGAAATCTAAAAAACAAAACAAATGGACAAACATAGTAAAACAAACATCATAAATACAGAGAACAAACAGGTGGTTGTCAGAAGTCGGGTGGGGGATGAGTGAAATAAGTGAGGGAGATTAAGAGGTACAGACTTCCAGTTACAAAATAAATGAGCCACAGGGATGAAATGAATGGCATGGGGATGTAGTCAGTATAATGTAATATCTTTGTATGGTGGCAGATGGTAACTAGACTTATCATGGTGATCATTTAGTAATGTATAGAAATAATCAAATCACTCTGTTGTACACCTGGAACTAACACAGTGTTGTAGGTCAATTATACTTCAAAAACAACAAAAATTTGCATAAAGTAAGATTTAAGAATTACTAATAGATTTTGCTGTCCATACTCCTCTTTTCCTTATCACCACAGAGAAATGATGAGCTAACTGGTTTTTCAATGGGAGTGGGACTACGGAGACTCTATTAAGGATAAGTAGTAGAATGTTAGAGAAAAACAACACCAGAAGCTGTTTCTTGACTCCAGAATATGGAATAAAAATATTTTGCTTTCAACAAAAAAGAAGAATCAGTGCTTAGTGGGAAAAGACAGGAAGGGCCTGCCGTTTTCACCACTTCTCAACCTACTATCTCTCAAGATAGGTAATGAAGAAGGGCCTTTTGTATCATAAAGCAAGGTCTTGAGTACTCTTTTTTAGCATAATAAAACAAAATGTAGGCTGTAATATATGCCAGGTTCTTTTTGTAGCTATCATGCCTGAAGATTTTGATAGCTTTCTTCTATTTTCCACCCTAAAGTTAATCAAGCAGGTCACAACCAAGCCCTATATTATTAGTAAATACGAAAAATTCAGGAAAGGTATGTGATTTTTTTAAAAATTATTTATTTATTTTATTTTTGGCTGTGTTGAATCATCGTTGCTGCACGCTGGCTTTCTCTGGTTGTGGTGAGTGGGGGCTACTCTTTGTTGCGGTGCACGGGCTTCTCATTGCAGTGGCTTCTCGTTGCAGAACACAGGCTCTAGGCACATGGGCTCAGTAGCTGTGGCTTGCAGGATCTAGAGCGCAGGCTCAGCAATTGTGGTGCATGGGCTTAGTTGCTCCACGGCATGTGGGCTCTTCCCGGACCAGAGCTCGAGCCCACGTCCCCTGCATTGGCAGGCAGATTATCAACCACTGCGCCAGCAGGGAAGCCCAGTATGTGATTTTCTAATGGATCCTCTCAGGGGGAGCAGTTGCCCCCTCTACCCAAGCCGATTCTCCAGCAGAATACCTTGAAAGTGGAGAGGTAATGCTTTTCTTTGGCCTTCTTCACAGCAGGTGCCATATCTAAATCCACTTTCTTTTTGAATTCATTGGAAGACGGGGAACTGCCCTTCAGGACACAGCCACAAGCTCCCTACTTTTGGTTCCTCTCCTATTTCACTGAACATTCCTTCTTAACCTCATTTGTAGGTTTCTTTTTGTCCACTCTGGAAGAGACTTTTTGCCTCCTTGATATCCGCTTTCCTCTTCACTTCTAGTAACAGAACCTTGGTTATTTTTATTTTTATTTTTTTAGGGTGGTAATGGACCTATAAAAGACTACACTGTCCAACTTCCCTAGGTGTGGTCAGTGAGTCAATTGAAAGTGAGTCACATGGGACTTCTGGGAAGAGCAGACTCAGCTAGGAGAACTGCACTTTCGTCCCGTTTCTTCCTGCCTAGAACCTGGATGGGATTGCAGAACTCCTCTGGCAGTCATCTTGGCTTGCACCATTGAGGATGGAGCTATGCACCTGAGAATGGCAGAGCAGAAAGATAGGTGGAACTGGTGTATAGGTGATCTGGTGAAGCTGCCATACTAGTCCAGACTTCTTTAACAATTTAATAAACGTCTTTCTTATTTAAGCCATTGTTGTTTGTTTCTGTTCCATGCAGCTGATTCTAATCCTAGCTGATACACCCACTCCTTATGTTATCAAACCAGGTTCATTTGCCCAACTCGCAGCAAGCCAAATGCTGAGACGCCAAGGTTTGCAGCAGAGAAACGATTTATACACAAGGCAGCCAAGCGAGGAGACGGGAGAACAAGTCTTAAATCCACTTTCATGAAGGTGAGGAGCTCAGGCTACTTACAGCATAAGGAAGCAGGGTGGTCTGAGGTGTGGGGAAAGATGATTAAAGGTAAGAAAAATGTACAGTAATTGGGGTTCTGTACAGGCATATCTGAGTTACATGCTTCTTCATAGGATGCATGTTCAGAAAATGGTGGCATTTACATGTTCTGAGGGTGAAGTTTTTCGCCTTCTGATGTCAAAAGGTTATCCACTGGACAGTCACCCAGTCCATGGTCTCGACTGGTTTGATCTGGGCAAGGCAAGCTCTGTGTTCCTGAAAAACAATTTGAGCAACTGTTACTATAGTGACTCATATATCAGAGGTGTTATCTGTAGGAGGTGATTTAAGGAGTCTTGTGATATATTGTCTAAGCTACATGAAGCTTGAAGGGTATGCAGTCTGCAAGAACAATTGAGGCAAGCTTGATTGAGGACAGGTTACAAGATATTTATCAAGCAAGTTATGATTTAAGGGATCTGATGACCTCCCTCAGTTTCACTTATATAATATTAGTGTTCCCCAAAGTTATGCCTTTCTTTACATTTTGTCCCCTTGGCAATATCCACACCCATGACGTTAGCACACACATGCCAGTGACTTCATAGCTATATCTGTAGTCCAAATACCCTTGAGCTCAAAAGCCTTATACTCAACTGCCTTTTAGACATCTCTATTTGGGTCCCCCCAACACCCCACCCAGACATTGTGGTTGGCTGAATAAGGGCCTCCTCCAGATAGGTCCATGCCTTAATCCCTGGAACCTATCATAAAAGTGACTTTACAACTGTGATGAAGTTAAGGATGCTGATATGGAGAGTTTATCCTGGATTATTCAGGTGGGCTTGATGAGTCAGAGAAGAAGGCAATGTAGCAATGGAAGCAGAGACTGGAGTGATGTGGGCACAACCAAGAATGCTGGCAGCCTCTAGAAGCTAGAAGAGACAAGGAATGGATTCCCCTTTTGAATCTCATAAGGAACTACCCCTTCCAGCACCTTGATTTTCGCCCACTGAGACCCATTTCAGACTTCTGACCCCCAGACTTGCAAGATAATAAAGTTTGTGGTAATTCGCAACGGCATTGAGAAACTAACACAGGCACCTCAAACCTAACGTATCCAAAAGTATAGCTGTCCAGGGTTCCAGCAGAATCTGGGGAGTTGACTGGGCTCATCCCTAGGTGAGTCTTGATTTCTACCCTTGTCTCCTCAGTAGTACAAGACTGACACCAACTTGATTCTGTTCTTCAGAGCCCTTCTGCTTGACTTCCTAGCTTCCTGCCTTGTTCAATTGGAAAATTTGGCAAATGCCTTAAGGGCTGGGTGTTGGGCACATACTTTACCGTCTCCTTCTTACTGAGACCTTCACCTTTCAAGCCTCTGCTTTTCATTTCTTCCTCCCTGAGAAGTTTCTCTGCCTTTTAGTAGAGGCCCTCTGCCCAAGCTCTTCTCTTGCCTTCTTAGATTTTTGCCCCACACCCAGAATGGTTAACTCCTCTGAGAGAAAATGCAGCTGCAGACTGTTACCTTACCACTCCCTGCAGTTCTCTCTTCTCCAAGATTTTACGTTATGAAGTCCTGGTTGCTTCTACATTATCTTCAAACAGCAGCTGCAAGTGACTTCATTTTAGCTCTGCACACGAGAGAGAGGTGGATACCAGGCCTCCTGAACTGCTCCCCTCGCCCTCTCTACCCTGGACCTTCAGGTAAAGAACTTGCCTGGTATCTGAGCTCTGCTTTAATAATAGAGGGATGACATTCTCTCTTTCCCCACAATCTAACAGCATCTCGGTCCTGTTTATGTCCCAACCCCCAAACTAGCCTCATTCTGCATCCCAGGCCAGAGTGTATAATACTTGGGCTTTCTTAGTTTTCCTGAAAATCAGGATTGCCTGCTTTCTAAATCCTGTGATTTTATTTTGTGGCTCTCTAACTCCTTTATCCTTGTTGATAATTCTGGACTAAGTGCTGTGCCAGCTCCAAATCAGTCGTTAAAGAAGGCTCATTTTGACATTCCCAGATATACTGCATTCTGTTTTTCAATTTATTCCGCAAATAAAAGCCTTGATGGCAAGCACTCTCATAGGTTGCTTTCTTTCCTCTGAATTGTAAATGAGTGATTTGTGACAATATTGGTAAGCAGGGTCAAAGATCCTTATTAAAAAAAATAATGGGGGCTTCCCTGGTGGTGCAGTGGTTAAGAATCTGCCTGCCAATGCAAGGGACACAGGTTCGAGTCCTGGTCCAGGAAGATCCCACATGCCATGGAGCAACTAAGCCCATGCACCACAACTACTGAGCCTGCGGTCTAGAGCCCACAAGCCACAAGTACTGAGCCCACGTGCCACAACTACTGAAGCCCATACACCTAGAGCCCGTGCTCTGCAACAAGAGAAGCCACAACAATGAGAAGCCCGCACACCACAACGAAGAGTAACCCCTGCTCACCACAACTAGAGAAAGCCCACTCACAGCAGTGATGACCCAACACAGCCAAAAATAAAAACTAATGAATTAATTAATTTTAAAAAACCAATAATGGTAGCTTTTTATAGCTCTGAAACTTTGTGCTTCACTGGCATGAGTATCATGTGTTTTCTATGCCTGGTCTCATTTAATTAACACAGCAATCATGTGCAACGGAGCGCAGGGGTTGGAGGGCTGGAGGGTGGAGTGGTCATTATTGACTGCACTTTGCTTATTAGGAAAGAAGCTGAGAGACGTTAAATTCCTCATCAGTGAGTGGTAGAACTAAGATTCAGACGGGTCTCTCTGACTCCAAGGCCCTTACTCTTTCTAATACAGTTCTGCCTCCTGACCTGTAATTCTCAGTGTCTGATGCCACAAACAGTTTCTAACCTCAGCCCCACCTAGTCATTGTAAGCACCTGTGGGCCCCTGATTACAGTGTGGATGATTCTGAAGAGCCCATCACCCTGACTGAACAGTTAAAATGCAATGACGCACAGAACATTTTTAGAGGCCAATAATAAAATTTCAGAATATGATGCCTAAGAACTAGTTAGTGACTGAGAATACACAAAGAAGATTGGAGGCTCTTATGTACCTTGTGGTCTCTAAAAAGAAAAATACAGGAAACCCTTGAACAAAGAGGTTAGGGGTGCTGACCCTCCAAGCGGTTAAGAATCTGCATATAACTTATAGTTGGCTCTCTTGGCCACGGTTCCTCCATAACTGCAGTTTTGCAATCCTGAATTCAACCTACCACGGATCGAGTAGTGCTGTAGTATTGACTACTGAAAAAAATCCACATATAAGCGGACCCACGTAGTTCAAACCCATAATGTTCAAGGGTCAACTGTATACAGATTCTTGGTACAACCATTAGTGACTTGCTGTTGGAGTCTAAGGGAACTATTGGCCTTACCTGGATTATGCAAATCTGAGGAGCAAAAGGTGTGGGTGAGGAAGTGAAATTGTGGCCCACGCAAATACTATTAGGAAGATCCTGGGCTCAGTTCTGGGTATGTCTGCTTGTGCTCTTAGTTCTTAACCCTAATTAACTTTTATGTCAATTCCTGAAGTTATAATTGCCTTTTTTCCCAGAATGAGTTTTCTATTTTTTTTTTTTTTTTTTTTTTTGCGGTACGCCGGCCTCTCACTGGTTGCGGAGCACAGGCTCCGGACGCGCAGGCTCAGCGGCCATGGCTCACGGGCCCAGCCGCTCCGCGAT